TCCTCCTGGGCCTCCTGTGGCCTCGTGAACTCCACCTGGGGTTTCCTGAAGCCTCTTGGGGCTCCCAGGGGGGATATCTAACCTGTGGCCGTTTGGGCCCCTCCAAATGGAGGGGGGGGCACAAGAGCAGGAAGAATCAACGAATCGACACCGGATGTGTATTAACTTGACACGTTCTGATAGGCGGCCTCCTGGGGCCTCCTGGGAGCCTCCTAGGAATCTCCTGGAGACCCCTGGGGCCTGTCCTGGGCGTCCTGCGGCCTCCTGGTGCCTCCTGGGGCCTCCTGGGGACCTCCTGGAGCTTCCTCCTGGGCCTCCTGTGGCCTCCTGAACTCCACCTGAGGTTTCCTGAAGCCTCTTGGGGCTCCCAGGGGGGATATCTAACCTGTGGCCGCTTGGGCCCCTCAAAATGGAGGGGGGGGCACAAGAGCAGGAAGAATCAACGAATCGACACTGGATGTGTAATAACTTGACACGTTCTGATAGAGGGCCTCCTGGGGCCTCCTAGGAGCCTCCTGGGAATCTCCTGGGGGCCCCTGGGGCCTGTCCTGGGGGCGTCCTGCGGCCTCCTGGACCTCTCTGGGACCTCCTGGGGCTCGCAGGGTCCCATGGAGGATATGCAACATGTGGTCTTCTGGGCCCCCAGGCTGGACCACCTCTTGCGCAGCATCTGAGAGCTCAGAGTTGCGAGAATGTCTTGTGCGAAACAGGCCAGACCACCTTGCGCACGGCATTTCAGAGCGAGTTGCAAGGATGTCTTAGGCGAAACGGGCCGGACCACCTCGCGCAGGGCATCTCAGAGCTCAGAAGTTCGAGGATGTCTCAGGCGAAACGGGCCGGACCACCTCTCGCGCGGCATCTCCGAAGTCAGAGTTTCGAGGATGTCTCAGGCGAAACGGGCCGGACCACCTCGCGCAAGGCATCGCAGAGCTCAGAGTTTCGAGGATGTCTCAGGCGAAACGGCCCGGACCACCTCTCGCACGGCACCTCGGGGCTCAGAGTTTCGAGGATGTCTCAAGCGAAACGGCCCGGACCACCTCTCGCGCGGCGTCCCGGAGCGCAACTTTTCGAGGATGTCTCAGGCGAAACGGCCAATCCCAGCCAACTCAGAAACGAGAGTGTGAGGATGTCTCAAGCGAAACGGCCAAAACCATAAAATTTGTGTGAGGATGTCTCTGCTCCGCCTTCCCTTGGCCGGAGTTAGTTTCTACCACATCAGCACCCCGTTCAGCAAGCTGTTTGGGGAAAAATCGTGACGTCGGATGTCTGGGGAGGGCGGAAGGCAGTGCGCGCATGACGGATGCTGAGGCGGCAGAAACGACGACGGCGGGGACGGGGAGGCGGAGGCAGAGGCGCAGCAGCGGGAGGCGGGAGGCGGGAGGAGGGAGGAGGGAAGAGGAACCAGGCGGGAAGTGGGAAGAGGGAGGCGGGAGAAGGAATGAGAGAGGTTGTGATTGGAGCTCCTGTGCTACGAAACGTCTCAGGCAGAATGGGCCAGACCATCTCGCGCGCAACATCTTCGAGCCTCGCATTGCGAGGATGGCTCAATCGAAACGGGCCGGACCACCTCGCGAGCGACATTTTGGAGCTCAGTATTGGAAGGATGTCTCAAACGAAACGGGCCGGACAATCTTTCGCACACGTTTTGACAAGTCCACATCGCACTCGCTTCCAGTTAGGTCCTCTCCTGCAACTCCCTTCCCTCCCTCCTCCTCCTCCTCCTCCCCCTCCTCCTGCTTGCTCCCTCATGCACATCATCCGCCTCCTCCTTCTCCCTTCCATCTCCTTCTCCTTCTCCTCCTCCTCCTCCTCCTCCTCCTCGACCTCCTCTTCATCCCGAACGGCATCTCGGAGCCTAGAGTTGCGAGGATGTCTCCAGCGTAACGGGCTGGACCACCTCGCGCGCGGCATCTCGGACCCCAGAGTTGCGACGATTTCTCGGGCAAACGTGCTGCGAGGAAGTCTCAGGCGAAACGGGCCGGACCACCTCGAGCGCGGCGTCTCAGAGCTCCGAGTTGCGGGGGCCTCCTGGTGCCTCCTGGGGCCTCCTGGGGACCTCCTGGGGCTTCCTCCTGGGCCTCCTGTGGCCTCCTGAACTCCACCTGGGGTTTCCTGAAGCCTCTTGGGGCTCCCAGGGGGATATCAAACCTGTGGCCGTTTGGGCCTCTCCAAATGGAGGGGGGGGCACAAGAGCAGGAAGAATCAACGAATCGACACCGGATGTGTATTAACTTGACACGTTCTGATAGGCGGCCTCCTGGGGCCTCCTGGGAGCCTCCTGGGAATCTCCTGGGGACCCCTGGGGCCTGTCCTGGGCGTCCTGCGGCCTCCTGGAGCTCTCTGGGGCCTCCCCCTCCTCCTGCCTGCTCCCTCATGCACATCATCCGCCTCCTCCTTCTCCCTTCCATCTCCTCCTCCTCCTCCTCCTCCTCCTCCTCCTCCTCCTCCTCCTTCTCCTCTTCCTCCTCCTCCTCCTTCTCCTCTTCCTCCTCCTCCACCTCCTCTTCATCCCGAACGGCATCTCGGAGCCTAGAGTTGCGAGGATGTCTCCAGCGTAACGGGCTGGACCACCTCGCGCGCGGCATCTCGGACCCCAGAGTGGCGACGAAACGTGGCGCGAGGAAGTCTCAGGCGAAACGGGCCGGACCACCTCAAGCGCGGCGTCTCAGAGTTCCGAGTTGCGGGGGCCTCCTGGGGCCTCCTGGGACCTCCTGGTGACCTCCTGGGGATTCCTCCTGGGCCTCCTGTGGCCTCCTGGACCCCACCTGGGGCTTCCTGAAGCCTCTTGGGGCTCCCAGGGTGGATATCAAACCTGTGGCCGTTTAACGAATCGACACCGGATGTGTATTGACTTGACACGTTCTGATAGAGGGCCTCCTGGGGCCCCCTGGGAGCCTCCTGGGAATCTCCTGGAGAACCCTGGGGCCTGTCCTGGGCGTCCTGCGGCCTCCTGGTGCCTCCTGGGGCCTCCTGGAGACCTCCTGGAGCTTCCTCCTGGGCCTCCTGTGGCCTCCTGAACTCCACCTCAGGTTTCCTGAAGCCTCTTGGGGCTCCCAGGGGGGATATCTAACCTGTGGCCGCTTGGGCCCCTCAAAATGGAGGAGGGGGGGGCACAAGAGCAGGAAAAATCAACGAATCGACACCGGATGTGTATTAACTTGACACGTTCTGATAGAGGGCCTCCTGGGGCTCCTGGGAGCCTCCTGGGAATCTCCTGGGGGCCCCTGGGGCCTGTCCTGGGCGTCCTGCGGCCTCCTGGACCTCTCTGGGGCCTCCTGAGGCTCGCAGGGTCCCATGGAGGATATGTAACATGTGGTCTTCTGGGCGCCCAGGCTGGACCACCTCTCGCGCAGCATCTGAGAGCTCAGAGTTGCGAGAATGTCTTGTGCGAAACAGGCCGGACCACCTTGCGCACGGCATCTCAGAGCTCAGAGTTGCAAGGATGTCTCAGGCGAGACGGGCCGGACCACCTCGCGCAGGGCATCTCAGAGCTCAGAAGTTCGAGGATGTCTCAGGCGAAACGGGCCGGACCACCTCTCGCGCGGCATCTCCGAAGTCAGAGTTTCGAGGATGTCTCAGGCGATACGGGCCGGACCACCTCGCGCAAGGCATCGCAGAGCTCAGAGTTTCGAGGATGTCTCAGGCGAAATGGCCCGGACCACCTCTCGCACGGCACCTCGGGGCTCAGAGTTTCGAGGATGTCTCGAGCAAAACGGCCCGGACCACCTCTCGCGCGGCGTCCCGGAGCGCAACTTTTCGAGGATGTCTCAGGCGAAACGGCCAATCCCGGCCAACTCAGAAACGAGAGTTGTGAGGATGTCTGAAGCGAAACGGCCAAAACCATAAAATTTGTGTGAGGATGTCTTTGCTCCGACTTCCTTTGGCCGGAGTTAGTTTCTACCACATCAGCACCCCGTTCAGCAAGCTGTTTGGGGAAATATAGTTGTATAAGCATTTGTATGTTCATACATGTACATTTACCTTTTTACATCCATACACACAGTAAGGTTGTTCACGCCGCAGTGGATGCCTTGGGCGTCAAAAGGGTCGCCCACCTTGTGCTGATATTTTCTCAACCGTGGACACCTTGCGATGAAGAGCCCAATTGTGTTTTTTCATATATCCCCAAACATTGATGTGCGGGGCCCTCCTCTCAAGATGCCCCCCCCCGAAGTGTCCCTACGGGATAACGATTTTGTCGCATGGTGTGCCGTTTTCGTCTGGTCTTTGATGCTTGTTCGCCTCGGGATGATTTCCAGATCGTCTCGAACGGCCGCTGATACCCCGAGCTGTTGCCCGAAAGCCAGACCCCCTTTGCCAACCCACCCTCGTGGGCGAGAAATATTTTCGGCGGCAAGGGATCAGGGGAGTGATAAGGAGAAATCCTCCTCAGAAGGCGGCGGGACTTCTCAGACGCCCTCCGGCCTTCTCAGAAGTTCTTGGGAAGGGTTTGGGGAGCCTCTCAGAAGCCGAGAGGAGGAGGAGGAGGAGGAGGAGGAGGAGGAGGAGGAGGAGGAGGAGGAGGAGGAGGAGGAGGAGGAGGAGCAGGCCAGCGGACTTCGAGCCTTCTGAGAAGGCCTGCCCCGTCTCGCTTCCCCCACCCTGGGCGCGCCGCCGAGCGACCCCCCTTGGCCAGGCCACCGTCGGATGCAGCTGCTGCGAGGTCAAACGCCCGACTTGGCCCTGGTCCGCAATCCCGCTGACTTCGGCTTCAACCCCGCTCGCTCCTGCTCAGTCCTGCGGAATCCCGCGGCATGCGGCTCAAGCCGCTGCTCAACCCGGCGTAGCAGCCCCACCCCCCACACGGGGTTTACTCCTCCGTCGTCCTGCTGGCGCAGACCTCCCAGCAGCTGCCTCCCGACCCGTGGCCGTCTACGCACGTCCTCTGTGGGCTCCCTACAACTCGTGGGCGCGCAGCCTGCACCGGCGGCGAGCGATGGCGCGCGCTTCGCCCCTCCGCTCCCGCGCCGCCGGCAGAAGTCGCCCTCCCCTCGCCACAGGCGGCCGGTGGCTGGCCGGCCGGCGCGCCGGCGGAGGCGGAGGACCCGCGGACCCGCGGCCGTGGGGGTCTCTTGCCGGGAGCGGAGACACAGGACGTACACGCATCCTCCCCCTCCTCTGCCTCCTCCTCCTAATCCTCCTCCTCCTCCTCCTCCTCCTCCTCCTCCTCCCCTCCTCCTTCTCCTCCTCCGCCTCCTCCTTCTCCCATGCCCTCCTCCTCCTCCTCCTCCTCCGCCCCCCTCCCCCTTCCTCACCTCCTCCACCTCCTCCACGTACGACCTTCCGATCAGTCTACGCCAGGAGGTCGTAGCCCGTGCCGAGAAAGCTTCCACCGACCTTCCGCCTGCTTCCGCCGACGGATACGGAGGCGGGGCCCCTTCGGGCACGCCCTATACTTTGTGCGGTGATGCCTGGCGCGGAGAGGACCTCGGAGCTTTTCGGCAGTTCGAGCTCCCTCAGTGGGAGGTCCAGGCCCGTGCGCACGGAGAGGTGCACCACCGCGTGCATGAATCCAGAGTAGAGTAGAGTAGAAGACCGGAATATAGATGGCCAGAATGTCCCGCCGGATCGCCGGCGATGGCCAGAGGGTCGGAGTAGATGACCGGAATATCGCGCCGCATCGTCGGCGATGCGACTCGATGTGGAGCCCGACTTTCTCCACGCCGACGGCGCCGATGCATCGCCGACGTCGCCGATGTATCGTCGATGCATCGGAGATGCAGAGCCGATGTATCGGCGATGCGGCGCGATCCTCCGACCCCATCTGTTCCGACCCCATCCCGGTGGCCTCTACGTACGTGGCCGGGCGCTCCGTGAGCATTTCGGCCCAAGCCCGTGTGGTTCAGAAGCCGAATTACGTGCTTTGCTCGAGGTGCTGCCCGTCTGGCGTGCTGATTTGCCCCAGCATGAGGCTAGTGGTCCGCCTGGTGAGCGGGGCCGTGGGGCTGGCAGTGGGGCTGACCGTGGGGCTGGCAGTTGGGCGGGCCGTCGGGCTGGCCGTGGGGCTGGCAGTCGGGCTGGCCGTGGGGCTGGCCGTTGGGCTGGCAGTGGGGGGGGGTTGGCCGCGGAGCTGGCAGTCGGGCTGGCCTCGGGGCTGGCCGTCGGGCTGGCCGTCGGGCTGGCCGAGCTGCTCAGACTGGACGGTCGATCTTGACAGGTCTGTTGGGTCCATCGTTGTCCAAACCCCCCTCGAAGCCTGCAGGGAGACTCAGCGCTCTGGAGCCGGTGGGGTCGCCAGGGTTGAGATTTCGCGCGCTGGTGAAACGCTCAACAGCGAGACTCTGCTGTGGAAGCTCGTCCTGGACACCGGGGCAGCTCAAGCCTGCAAGGATGATCACCAGGCAAGGGTCGAAGAACTACGGGCGACGATTGACGAGACGCTCGTGGCGCCGGAGGCGGCCAACAAAAGGAAGAAGGGCAACGCTCTCGCCAGAGAGGCACAGCAGCTGCATGACCAAATTGAGGCGCTTCAAAGCAGCGAGGAGCACACGCATGCAACGCATACGGAAACAGAGTGCCTCCACCTGAGCAGATTGCGATGAAGATCGGGCATCCTGGTTCTGTGCGTTCCCTTTTGATCGCTAGCCGACTTGGTAGTCCAAATCAGACACGATTTGTGTTTCAGGGCGTCGAGCTGTTTGGAATTCGGAGTGGCCAGCTTCAGACCTACCTCGACGACCCGCTCACCGATTTCGGAGTCCAAGACGGTGCCAGGGTCGACGTGTTCTTGGCTGGCCAGTGCGGCTGCGGATTTCACGGTCCGGGTTAAGAGAGGGATTTGTGCGCAGATCAGAGCACAGCCATTGGCAGCGGCGCAGATGCGGCGGGCAGCAGAGAGACCACATATTGACATGCACGGCCGGATAGTTCTACGGTGTAGTGTTTGACGTGCGGGCGCCATTTGGCTTAATTCTTTGGCGCGCTCTGGCGCACGTTGTGATCCTGACCCTGATTTTGACAGGCTGACAACATAAATGTACGGCAGGTTCATTCGGGGACGGTGCGCTGGCGCCGGCTGCGACGGCGTGTTAGGTTGAACTCCGCATGACAGGCATGCCCCCCTTTTTTTCGGGACGATCGACATCGACTCGGAAAGCATAGGTACAAAGACCGACCGTATTTCCTGTCCATGTTGGACGTCACTCGCTGTCGGTGTCGCCGCGGACGTCACCCACTTGAGATAGAAAGGCCGCCTGTCCAGCAGCGGCCGCTGTCGGTTTCGGACCGCGTTTCTCCTGGCACCCCGCCCCTATCAGGCGAAAACGTAGGTGACCGAAAACACGGTGACAGAAACCGTGCCCGAAGTTGTGACCGAAAACGTCGTGTTACCAATGCTGCGACCGAATTTGAAGATCCTCTGAGTTTCGCGTCACGCATCTCGGTCACACCCGGGCGCTTCGGACACTTTCGGGTGCAAATTTCGGCCGCACCCAGGCAGAGATTCGGACACAGGGTCGGTCACGACGCTTCCCTGATATCAGAGGCAGTGAGGTTGACACCAACACCAAAGTCGGCGGTGTGCCTTCACCGGGGGAGGATACCTATCTCGGTGATGGTGGTACTACTCGGGCTTCATAGGTGACCGAAGGGTACCACCGACACCGACATCTCCCCCAGTGGAGGCACACCCCGTGTTGGTGTTCGTGCCCATTTCCAAGCCCCCAGTGATGAGGCGAGGCTACGTGACGCTTCTTGTTGGGCACCACGCCGAGATTTTCCTTCCCCGCTTCGGGCGTCCAAACGCACGGCGCCACCCAAGATGTCGTGCCTGGGGAGGCGGAGGCGGAGAAAGAGGAGGAGGAACTATAGGCGGAGTAGCAGGAGGAGGAGGAGGAGGAGGAGGAGGAGGAGGAGGAGGAGGAGGCGGGAGGAGGGAGGAGGGAGGAGGGAAGAGGAGGAGGAGGAGGAGGTGAAGGAGGGAGGAGGAGGAGGAGCAGGAGGAGGAGGAGGGAGGAGAGAAGTCGGAGGGGAGGAGGAGAAGAGGAGGAGGAGAAGAGGAGGAGGAGGAGAGGAGGAGGAGGAGGAGGAGGAGGAGGAGGAGGAGGAGGAGGAGGAGGAGGAGGAGGAGGAGGTCGTGCCTGGGCCCAGCGCGGCAGGGCTAGAGAAACGGCTGGCGCGTGGACCGCCCCCGCCCCCCGCAGGAGGCGAAGCGCGCCGCCCTGCTCGGGGCGCTGGACCTCGCCGGGGTGCTGCTGCGGCTCGGCGGCACGCTCGACTTCGCGAGGCAGCCACTCGCCTGAGAGGGGGCCGGCGGGCCGCCCGCGTGCCAGACTCAGGAGGGACAGAAGTACACAGACACAAGTAGTCGCCGATTCCCAGGGATCTATATATATATATATATATATATGTATATATATATACATATACAATTTTACATATACATATACATATGTGTGTATGCATGCGTGCGTGCGTGCATGCATGCATGCTTTCATGCATGCATGTCTGTCTGTCTGTCTGTCTGTCTGTCTGTCTGTCTGTCTGTCTGTCTGTCTGTCTGTCTGTCTGTCTGTCTGTCTGCTTTTGTGTATGCATGTATGTATGTACGTACGCACGTACGTATGTATGTATGTATATGCATGTGCGTATGCATGTATGTATATGTTTGCATACGTATTTTCATAGATGGAACAACAGAGCTGGAAAGGTGGGGGGGGAGACGAAAACTGAGAAAATATGGAACAAAGTGGGCTCCTTGGATTTGTATCTCTGTCAATGTGTCCCCGGGCCCCTCTTTACGGGCGGGCGGGCGAGAGTTCGCGAGCGGGGCACGTGCCCCATATCTGGACCCTCGCGTCCTGGATCCGGGGGCGCGGTCCTCCGCATACGCGGTCGCACAGGCACGCTCCGCGCAGGGCACCTGCGAAACAACGGCCCGCATCCGCGGGCCGCGGCCCAGGGGCCCGGCCCGCGTGGCCGCGGATACGGTGCGAGGCGGGCGGCAGGAAGACAGTTTGTATCGGCTGGCGGCCCCGGCGGCCGCGCTGGGGGCGCCCCTGCTGGGTTTCCCCTCCTTCTCTTCATCCTCATCCTTCGCGTCCTCCTGCTCGTTCTCCTCCTGTTTTCCTTTTCCTCCTCCTATCGCTATCGCTATCGCTATCGGCTCGATGTCCTGTCGGACGCAGCCGTCCGTTTTCCTCCTCCTCCTCCTCCTCCTCCAATCCTCTTCCTCTCTCTTCCTTCTGGACTTCTTCCCGTTCGCACCCTGAGGCTGGTCGAAAGGGCGGGGGCGGACGTTCCGCGTGATCCTGAAGCTTCAACCTTGACAGCAGCTTCGCCGATGGAGGTGTGGAGGAGGAGGAGGAGGAGGAGGAGGAGGAGGAGGAGGAGGAGGAGGAGGAGGAGGAGGAAATGAGTCTCGAGGCGGGCCCTCCACCCCTCTCCTCCACGGGTGTCTTCGAGTGCGGCGGGCACGACCGAGCCGATCGGCAAAAAAGGACAAGAAAACGATCCCTTGTGTTAGGTCGGCAGCAGGGTCGCTTCCAAAGTGTGGCTCTCGCCGAAGCGCCGCGCACATTCGCTTCACAGTTTCGCAAGAGTTTCACGGATTGATGGCGGTTGTTTTAATGTGGTTTTCGCCGCAGTGCCGCGCACATTCGTTTGCACAAGTGCAACAAGAGTTTCACGGACGGATCGAGGGCGTGTGGTTTTCAACATGTGGTTTTCGCCTTAGCGCCGCTTGCACTCGCTGTAAAATGTTGCATCAGCTTCATGGATTGAGGGCAGGTCGTTTTCAACACGTGATTCTCGTTTTAGCGCCGCGCGCAGTTGATTCAAACATGTGCAAGGGTTTCGCGGATCGAGGGCGGGTGTTTTTTTAATTTTGTTCTCGCCTCAGCGCCGCGCACATTGTGTTTCAATATTTGCAAGAGTTTCACTCGTTCTCACGGTGAATGCACAAGAGATGTGGCATGATTCAGGATCGCCACGACGTAACATTCGGGTTAAAGCGTGGCGTTGAGGTCTCGAACACATAGTTTTGGCCCGCTTTAGGAGTTTCACACGGTCGTCCCCCAAGGGGACAGTTCCTTCAGGGGAACTGAGCGTTTGTAGGGGCTTATGAAGAGGGAGTTTGGAGGGAGAGTGCCACCATCGTTTGTGCGTCTTGGGTTTTCAGTGGTCCTCCTCCTCTTCCTCCTCCTTCTCCTCCTCCTCCTCCTCCTCCTCCTCCTCCTCTCAGCTCAGTGGACGACAGTTCCGATACCGCCACCCTTCCCTAGTTTTCCCTTATTTTTGTGAGTCTCATGGCAGGCCCCCGTCGCCACGGCTGCATTCGCCTCGAGATTCTGGTCAGCAGGGCTGGACCTAAACGGTGTTTTGGCGATTGTGTGGGCCGATTGCGTTTCGATTTCGTTTTGCGTTGAAGGCGGATTGAAGACAAAGCGAGGGAAAACGAAAACAACATGAATACGACAAACACCGTTTAGGTTTAGCCCTGCTGGTCAGATTGCACGAGATCCTGGTCAGATTGCACCCCAGGAGAGGTTCGCGGAGTAGCGGTATCATTAACCTTTTTGTTTCTTTGTTCAGTTTCGTTTATCCGACCCCCATCCCCATCCCCATCCCCTTCGAGACCCCCCCAAAGTTACCCCCCCAGTTAGGGATAAACACATCGAAACCCGAAGGGGGGTAATCGGCCAGTGGAGCCCAGGCCACGCCGCTGAGGATGGGGGTCGGTCAAACGATACTCATTTGTCATTTGCCTTTATCCTCCTGTTGCGAGGCGGGGGTATATCCATGACCACCCCGTGCAGGATCGATCGTCGGGGACCTTGGCGGGCGGTGGATATGCTTGTGCTTGGCCCGCGCAAGGTCAGACTCTACTCGTATCTGTCGCCTGCCGAGGTCCCCGAAGATCCATACCATACGCTGTGGTTATGGAGAAAACCCCGCCTCGGACTACAGTCGACCCACACAGTAAGGATAGGCATCCCTCCCAAGGGTACCCTTGCATCCCTGCCTCCTGAGTCCATCCTTGAACACATTCGTTGGCCGCGCCCCGCTCGAAACGCTTCGAAATGGGCGTCCAAGGCCCTTGCATCCCTATCGCGCATCCTTACCATCCAGGGTGACTGTGGCCTTTTCTAGTTATTCATGCATAGGCATCAACCTCCGGAACTTCGCCCGGACTTTCCTGGATCGGCGCTGGTCGGGAGCCTTGAGACGGGGGTCAATGCAAACGGGGGTCAGTCAGGGCACCAGATCCTGCAGGATCCTGCGAAGACCCCCTCTGGCTGACCCGGGTTAGCGAGCCACTCGTGGCCGCGAGGCGGCCGCGCATATTGGCTGACCCGGGTTTGCGAAGACCTGCGTTGCAGTTTTTTGTTATTGCATTGCAGTTTTTGGTTTCCTGCTGACCCGGGTCTGGATTGACCCGGGTCAGCAGACCCCCGAGCTGGGCCACCCCGGCGGTGCCTCCGGCGGCGCCCCCGGGGCGCCCTCCGCGCGCCTCCCATGCATCGGCGAGATCTCGACCGCCGGCTCCAGCGCGATCGCGACGGCCCCCCCCCCCCCTCTGAGCTGATTTGAGCCCTTGCAGAACGGGGGCGGGACGAGGGAAGGGGGGACGGGGAAAGGGGGGAAAGGGGGGACGGGGAAAGGGGGGACGGGGAAGGGGAGGTCACGACATCTGCTGCACGCGACTGGCTTCAGCCCCGCCGCCAGGCGCTCGCCTCGATGCACGGGCGCCCCTCGGGGCGCCGGGGGGCGCCTGGAGAACCAGCTGCGCGGGCTCATTCGCTAAGCTTGAGTTAAGGTTTGTCCCTTACAGGAGGAATAGTCGGAAATCGTCCAGGAATAGTCAGAGGACGATTTCCTGATTACTTTTTGCATACTTTCAAATATTTTTTGACTATTTTATGTTTTCCCCTCAATCCGCCTGTAGGGCCTGTAGGAGGACATGTCCGACCTAACATTAGCCCCCTTTATCCGTAAGGGCTTCGCCCCCTGCCGCTGGCCCCCTCTCTCGGAGCATGGGCCATGGAAGAGCGAATTCATGAGGCTTTGGCTTTGCCGTGAAGCAGTGGCGGGACCTATTTTTTTTTCGACCCTCACCCTGCCGATCTGCGTGAGGGGTGCCGCCGAATTTCAAACATGTGGCAAATCCTTTATGTTTTTGGACCCTGACCCTACGGATCTGCGTGAGGGGTGCCACCGAATTTCAGAAATGTTTCAAACCCCATGTGTTTTTGGACCCTGACCCCGCCTGTGTGAGGGGTGCCACCGAATTTCAGAGATGTGGTAAATCCTTTGTGTTTCTGGACCCTGACCTCGCCGATCCGCGTGAGAGGTGTCAGGAAATTTCAGAAATGTGGCAAATCTTTTGTGTTTTTGGACCCTGACCCTGCCGATCTGCGTGAGGGGGGCCAGGATCTTTTTAGAAATGTAGCAAATCCTTTGTGTTTTTGGACCCTTACCCCGCCGATCTGCGTGAGGGGTGCCACCGAATAGAACATGCGGCAAATCCTTTGTGTTTTTGGACCCTGACCCCGCCTATTTGCATGAGGAGTGCCACCGAATTTGAGAAACGTAGCAAATCCTTTGTGTTTTTGGACCCTGACCCCGCCAATCTGCGTGAGGGGTGTTACAGAATTTCAGACATGTGGCAAATCCTTTGTGTTTTTGGACCCTGACCCCGCCGATCTGCATGAGGGGTGTCAATTTTTACTCCGCCAGGAATTTTTGAGAACCCTCCCGGAGTACGCTGACCAGGGCGGTTTTCGGCTCCCCCCCCTCGCGCGGACAGTAACAATTTACAGTAGGAAGCAGAAAGCAGTACTGTAACAATGGAAACTGGAAACTGGAACTGGTGCAGGGAACAGCAAGCCTAACCCTCGCAGCCTGATGGCCCTGCAAGGGGGTCGGCGGACTTTTCACCCCTTTCGTCCGACCTGACACTCGGCAAAGCCGAGCCGGCATCGGGAGCGCCCCGGATCGAGTCCGAGGGGCAGCTGCTAAAAGCCCCTGCTAACGGGGCGAACTCTGGGCAAGGGGTTTAACTCGCACTCGTGAGCGAAAAATCATTTTTTGAGAACAGTAATGGAAACGCACCCTCAGATGCCAGCCCGTTTACGAACGCCAAGTTTGCTGGGGCTTGGCTGCTGGCTGCCGACGCCGCCACTCTTCGGTTCCGGGCCAGCGGCATGGGGGGGCAGCGTGTGCACTTGGAGAGGGCGGGAAGCATAGGCCCCCGATCTCCTGGTCCTCGCAGTTGCAGGCCTCGGCCCCATGTTCCCGCCCGGAAGCGTTCAGTCGGGCGTGTCCCTTTATACAGGAGGGATCTCAAAAATAGCCAAAACATAGTAGGGGGACGAGTTGTCAGCATTTTTGTTGTATTTGTTTGACTATTTTTGGGCTAGTCTCAATGTTTCGCACAAAGTCCCCCTGTAGGGGACAGGCCCGATGTAACAGAAGCGCGAGGTTTCGCTACCAGGGGGACTGTCGCCGATCTGTCGTCGACGTTTCGCCGATTCCAACCCAACGTCCCCACCTTGAGCCAGCCCCCCCTATCGTTCCCCCTCCCCCACCGTCTCCCCTCGGTGAAGAGCGATATCGTGCATCAGCATTTTCGGAGTCACCTGCCACCTCCTGCTCCACCTCTTCCTCCTCCTCCTCCTCCTCCTGTGTACGCAGCTCCCTTTTCTCCGATTGCGCATACCGCGAAGTGCTCTTTCTGTGGGAGTCGCAGTTCGGCTACGACACGTGTCCGTGGATAATCAGCGCCGTGGGCAGGGATGGAAGGGAAGGAAAAGATTACAGATGAGGCGCGAGCGCACCCCGCCTGTCCCTCCCCCCTCTCCCTCCTCCTCGCCCCCTCCCTTCTCTCACCCCTCCCCGCTCTCCTCCACCTTCTCCCTCACCCCCCCCTCTTCCCTCCCCTCTCTCCTCCCCCTTGTTGTCTTTAGTTGTCTTGTCCTGTCTTGTTTTGTCTTGCCTTTGTTGTCATGTCTTTCTCCTTCCTCCTCCTCGACCCCCCCTTCTCTCCACGAAGTAACCATATGAATACTACTCCCCCTCGCCCCTGATGACGTCCGGAAGACGTTCGCCCCCCCTCCGCGTACAGTTTTTACACAGGATTCCAGGGAAGCGCTGGCCTCATTTTCGGGCTTCCGCTCGGTCCGAATCATGCACCCGCTGCAGCGCTGGCCTTATTTCCGCGCTTCCGCTCGTTCTGAATCGTGCTCTCGCTGCAGCGTTGGCATGATTATTTCCAGTGCCATGCCACGGCATGCAATGCAATGCTATGGATTTGTTGTCCGCTGTGCGATGCCATGCCTTCAGCTGCAATGCTAGGATATGATATGCTTGACTACGCAGTGCCACGCCATGCTGTGCCTTGATATCCAACGCCATGCTATGCCACGTTATGTTATGTGCCGATGTGCGATGCCATTATTTGTGGTGCAATGCTTTGAGATGCAATTCATCATCACGCAACGCCATGCCATGCAATGACATACTACGATCTGCCGTGCTCTTCTACGCCCTGCGATGCCGTGCTCTACGCTTCATAGCGCACCCTGTTGGGATCATTGCCCTGCTCGACATCCAACTGTTGTTCGAATAGAGAGGGGATCTAAGCCATGGTAAGGAATGGGAGGGAGGGGACGTCAAATATGACGCGAGTGCACCTAGCTTGCCCCCGCCCCTCTCTCCTCCCCCCTCTCCCTCCACCTCCTCCCTGCTCCCGCTCTCTCCTCTCCCGTTTCGTCTTGTCAGGTCTCGCCTCGCCTCGCCTCGTCATGTCTTCTCTCCTCCCCTGTCCCTCCTCCCTCGCCCCCTGTCCCTTCCCTCCCCCCCCCCTTCGCCACTCTCCCGCCCCCCCTCCTTCCCCGCCCCCCCCCCCTTCCCCTCCTCCTGGCGCGCCCGCCCCCTCCGCAGAGAGGACGGGGGGGGGGGGCGCGGCGGCGGCGCCCCGACGACGTGGGGGCGAGGGGAGCGGCGGAGGAGTGCTCACCCGCGCGTGCTTTTCTGCGCCCCCCCGCCCTCCCCCCCAAGGATGCATACATACATACACATACATTCATACATTCATACATACATACATACATACATACATACATACATTCATACATACATACATACACACATAGATACATACATACATACATACATACATACATACGTACGTACGTACGTACGTACGTACATACATACATACATACATACATACACATAGATACATACATATATCTATACACATACATACACACATGCATGCACACATCCATCCATACATACACTTGGCCCGAGGGGCGGCGGCCCGCGCGCCGGATCAGTGTGTGGTGCGGTGCGGTTAACACGGGCCTGTCCCTCGACAGGGGGAAAATTCAAAAGTATGAAACAACAGTGAGAAGGCATGCTTTTCGCTGTGTTTGATCATTGGGGGGGTATTTGTTTGGCGCATGTGTTATTTTTCGCCCAGAATCCCCCTGTAGGGGGACACGCCCGACTTAACGGTACGACCCCGAGCCTGGTGGGCTTTTCCGAAGGGCTTCGGGGCTTCCGCTCCTCCTCCTCCTCCTCCCTCCCCTCCCTCCTCCCTCCTCCTCCTCCCTCCTCCCTCCTCCCTCCCCCCCTCCCTCCTCCCCTCCCTCCTCCCTCCTCCCTCCTCCTCCTCCTCCTCCTCCTCCTCCTCCTCCTCCTCCTCCTCCTCCTCCTCCTCCTCCTCCTCCTCCTACTACTCCGCGCCCTCCCCTCCTCGGGTCGTATACGTCGCTTCGTTTGTGTTTTAAACATCGTTGAGTGCGGTCCTCGTACGAAGACAAACAGCGGTTCCTCTCCATGTCGAGTCAGGTTCGCTGTCGGTGTCGTGGCGGGCGGTGCCCATCTGCGACACAAGCTCGCCTGCCCATCAGCGGCCGCGGTCGCCCCGGAGTTCACGCATGGTGCAGGGCCTCAGGGCCTCCCGGGGCGGGAGCGTGGGCAGCCTCCCTGGAGGGGAGTTCTCGGATGGTGTAGCGCCTTCGGGGGCCTCCAGACCGCGGAGGAGGAGGAGGAGGAGGAGGAGGAGGAGGAGGAGGAGGAGGAGGAGGAGGAGGAGCAGTTGCTGTGAGGCATCGTGCCCAGTTGTTCCATACTCGCTGTGGGCGCCCAAAAATTGTTGCAGCCTCCGCCTCTCTCTAAGTAAGGATGGCGTCGATCCGTGCACATGCGCCGACCGTGGCCCGACCCCTCTCTGCGGGGCCAGTCTCGACCCAATCGATCCGCTTCGATGGCGATCGCGCTCGTTCTGGTCCAGGCCGATTCAGATACTTCTCAGGAGCGAAAGAAGGACGCACACGTACAAGAGTCCACGCTGGTTTCGAGAGTCTTCATTGCGGGAATGTTCGCATCACGCGGCGAGTCTCGCGGATCGAGGGGCCGTGCTCATGTACATAGTTGTGCGCGTACATTCTTTTGGGGCTCCCTATCTCCGACGATCCAGCGCGGCCCGGTGCTCGCACTGGCGCTGCTGTGTGTCTTGGCGCGGCCGATCCGATTCCGTCGCGCCGATGCGGCCCGATCTGGCGCGTTAGGATTCGATCCGGTTCGCCGACTCGATGGTGACTTGCCTTTGTCCGGGGCCCTCGGCCTCGGTGCATGCGCCGTCCTGGGAGTCTGGGCTGGGAGGTTCCCGCCTGGGGATCTGGAGGGCAGTTCCCTGGATCGTGCCTCGCAGCCGACCTCGAGCGTTCGAAGGGTGGTGTCCGGTGGCAAAAAGTGGGAGCCTGGTATACTCTTTTGATTCCGTCGTTAGCGTCGATTAGCGTCTGGAGTCGATGAGATAGCCCCGATTTAACGTCGGCTAGCTTCGATTAGCGTCGACTTAGCGTCGGCTAGCGTCGATTTAGCGTCGATTAGAGTCGATTCGCAAGAGCCGACAACTCCTCCTCCTTCTCCTCCTCCTCATGCTCCTAGTCGGTGCAGCTGTGCATCAAGCAGTGGCAAGGAGTCCTGACTTCCATTTTGCCCCACCAGCGAAGGTTTCAAGCACCTCTTGTGGTATGCACGGGAGGTACACGTGAAGCGATTGTCCTGGCTGAGAGCGTCTGGGTCACCCATCGGAGTTGTGCTCAAACGGCACTGCCTCTATGCTTCGTTGGCGGCGAGCGAGGGGGGAAGTGAGAGGGAGGAGGCCTTCTCAGAAGGCAGCGGGCCTTCTCAGAAGGCAGCGGGCCTTCTCAGCGGGCCTGAGAGGTTTGTTGTGCTTCCTCTGGGAAGGCTTAGAAAACGTCGCAGAGGGCCAGGAGTCTTCTGAGCCTCCTGAGAAGGCCCGCCCCTTCTCACGCCCCCCCTGGGCTCGCCGCCGACTTCGAGCGCTCCTCGGCACTGGGAGCAGGCCGTGGTAGGCCTCCAGGAGTGCCCGGCCGGTCGGCCCCTGCTGGACAGTGCAGACGGCGACCTCTGGTCGGGACGATCGAACAGAGACTAGGGGGGAACTGAACATTCTGAACAGTTCCCCCTGACCGTTCTGAACAGGGCGGAAGAGGTCTCCTCCTCCTGCTCCTCCTCCTCCTCCTGCTCCTCCTCCTGCTCCTCCTCCTCCTCCTCCTGCTCCTCCTCCTCCCTCCTCCCTCCTCCTCCCTCCTACTCTCTCTTCTCCTCCCTCCTCCCCTCTCTTTCTCCCCCCTCCTCCTCCCGCGAACGGTGTCCCCTCGAAAATGGCCCATTTTAGACAGAACGCCGCCTGCTCAACAGCGGCCGATTTCGGTTTTGGACGGCTTTTCTTGTTGGACATCGTGCAGTCGGCCCTGATTAGCAGGTCGATTCTGCCAAATGTGGCCCTGTATTCCTACGGCAATGTGGCCCTCGAAGGGGTCTCGTGCCCCGTCTCGTGCCTTATGATGCTCCAGTCTACTCTAGCCTTGATCACCAGAAAGAATTTCGAACACCAAGAAAGTACCGAAACAGAAGGGGTTTCACGTGTTTGGCCCTGGGAGGCGTTGTTCGCTCGACTTTGTTTCGACGCTGTTCTGGTTGCTCGAACATATTTCTGGGATGTGGTCCTCTAGAATGATGGGAGCAACAGAACGCGTGCCCTCTGCAGTCAAGCCCGACTGTGCCCCTGTTTGTCCCGACCTCCTGCGGGCGTCCCAACCTCAGGCCCCTCCCCCCGATGATGGGCCGATTTCCCACCACCAGTAGGAGGAGGAGGAGGGGGAGGAGGAGGAGGAGGAGGAGCTCCCAACCCTCCCTTCCCCCCCGTCCTGCCTCTGGTGGCGCTGGTGGATCACGGGCCCCTCACCCGAGCTCCGGCCCATCCGCGGCCCGCCGCCGTGCCATGCTGGGCGCCCGGCGGCTCTGCGCGAGGGGGCCCCCCTCCGCGCTGGCGGCCTCGTGCGCGGCGGCCTGGGCGGCCCGACGGGTCGCGGAGGGTCCTGCTGCTCCGCCCTCGCGGCGCCGCTCTGTCCTCCCCGGCCTCCCTCTCTTCCCTCCCTCTCTTCCCTCCCTCTCTTCCCTCCCTCCGTCCTCCCCGTCCTCCCCGCCCTCTCTCCTTCCTCCCGCCTACCTCCTCCCCCCGTCCTCCCGTCCTCTCCTTCCCCCGCGTCCTGTCCGTCCTCCCTGTCCTCCTCCTCCTCCTCCCGTCACCCCGCGAGCAGCAGTATGGTCCTGGAATTCGTGTATTATACGCCTCCCCAGCACAGCCAGGAGGGCATATGCACCGTTCCCGGGCCCAGGATGAGCCTTGCCAGGATCGGTGTGTAACCTCGGGAGGTCGTTAGTTTTGAGTTTCCCCCCTGTCTCCTTCGGCGGTGAACATAAACTCCGCCCCTCCTCCTCCTGCTCCTCCTTATTCTCGTCCTAGCCGTCTTCGTCCTTGTCGCGCCGCGGGTGCTTCGGATAGAATCATTCCTTTCCACTGTTTGTGGGACCACAGCTCGTCACTCAGGTCGCTGAAGAGATTTGTTAGAGTCCACGTCAATCGGGTCGCAGAAGAGATTGGCTAGAGCTCACTATTTGGCGGGATGTTCGAAGGACCTGCAGAGGTTAGCTGACGCCCTCCGAGCATCCCGCCAACACCTCCTGACGACGACACGTAGCGTCGGGAGCCTTTTGCACGCGGGGTATGTTTTGAGGAGTTCTATTTTTGTCGCCCAGAATCCCCCTGTAGGGGACAGGCCCGACCTCAGGCTCGTTTCGATTCCTCCGATTCGGTTCGGTCCGAGTCGGTTTCGATGGCGTCCGATTCCGATTCGATTCGGCTTCGAATTCCGACCTGGATTCCGATTTCTCAATGGAGGCCTACTGACCTCACCAAGCGCATTCCACTACTCGCAAGGTGCCTACTCGCAAACGTCTGAAAAAGCATATGCTTGCTTCGATGAGTTTTATCGTAGATCCCCCGTGGCGGATCCAGGCCATTTGCGCGTAGTTACTTTGCGAGTAGTGGAACGCGCTCGTCTATAACCTGACGATTTCCGCCGATTCGATTTCTCCCGACTTGGCTGCCGATTTCTACCGCTTCGATTCATTTCGATCGCCGATCCGACTTATCGATTCGATTCTGGGCTCATGGGCTCTCCTGCCGTGATGGGCGAGGCACGTGGTGAGTCATGTTCCTGCACTTCACATATCAGGGGCAACGATGGGGGGGTGGGGATGGGCATATGTCGAAGAAGAAGCACCGTCATAAACATACACTTTTGGCGCTCCGCGCCGACCGTAGAAAGTTTCTGTTCATGCGTTTGTTTTTCTTCTAATGCAAGTCTGACCGAGGTATATGATCGAGGTCGGTTCGGGGAGGGTACCCAAGTGTTCTTCGTGGTTGTTGGATGTTCTTGTGCATCCTGGGGGAGGGTGCCCTCGAATGCTCCTCATGTTGACCGGCGGAGGGTCTCATGTTTTTGAAGGATGTTACTATGTCCTAGGTCCGACTGCAGGCAGATGGAGGGATGCATCGACCCCCAATTACCCAGTGATCGCCGATAGGGGGCCGATGGCCCCAACCTGTCCAGGGGAGTGCAGATTGCCTATCGCCGGTCTAACGGCAATTTATTGCCGATTCCATGTCGATGTGCCCCCCGATTGCATGAAAAAGTCGCCAGCACGCCATGCAATCGAACCGACCCACCAGCATCAGGAGTGATCGCATCATCGAGATGCGAGTGGGTCCGCGGAGGCCCGAGACCATCCTCCGAGGCCACCCTCGACAGAGCTGGCCGCGCCGCCGAGCGCCTTCGAATAAGTAACCCCATGCGTCTCCTGGCTAGGCCCAGAAGCCAGGCATACCCATACAGTCGGACCGCGGTATAAGATCGAGGTCGGTTCGACGAGGGTGCCCTCGTGTTTTTTGTGTTTGTTGGATGTTCTTGTGCATCCTGGGCAGGGTGCCCTTGGATGTTCTGTTTGTTTTTGCCGATGGGGATCGCATGTTCTTAAAGGATGTTTTTCTGGCCTAGGTCCGACTGTGAACGAGCTACCAGACAGATGGCCGAGGCAGCATCCGATGCCACTCGAGGCATACAGGTGCAGCAAGATGCGTCGGGGCCTCTGCCCTAACGGTCTTGTCAGCCACTGGATTTCTGGACCGTTGCGGCCACCTCCGAAGCACTCGTGAGAAGCTTGTCTTGGGGCATGCGCGTTATCCTCCCTCCCCCCACGCCGTCCGAAAGCTTGAGGATGTGTAGCCTCAGTCACCGCGCTTGGGCCCCAGCCACGTTCCAACAAGAGACTTACCAGGTTCCGTATCGTATTTAGTACACCTGTGCGCTCGTCTCGAACCGGGCCATCGCAAATGCGAAACATCAGCCGAGCAGAAGGTTACAGATAGCGGTGCAGTAGTAGCCTAGATGTGCTGAGACTCCAACGGAGCCTAGCTCGAGCCGCATTTGCGACGCCTGCAGTAGTAACCCTGACTGCCCGAGCAATCCCCAAACACGTGAACATTCAAGAGGAGGTCCAGGAACCAGGCATCAAATCCAAGGCAGATGCGTTTCTGCGAGTTGAAGCCGATCATGTGTCACGCACTCGGGACGGAAGCCTTCGTTGGGCCAGCAACCACACAAATTGTGTTAGCACAGGCCAGCCTCTCCAAGAGCTGGGCAGTCAAGGTTCTCAGCTCTGCCTTCGGGCCGGACAGTACCCCTCCGAGAAGCGGACATCTCAAAAGCCCCCTGGCGCCTCCGAGTCCAGGACTCCATGAGCGAGCGAGAGAGGAGGGTGGCACTGAGAGACTCCAAGAGAGGAGGCCGAGTTCACCGACCTGGCATCGCTCGGACGTGTGCATTTTTCTTCGGCGAGGACCATCGAGGAGATCCTTGATCATTTGGCGAAAAAACCAGGCGCACGACACCGAAAACAACACAGGGAATGGACGTCCGAGCGATGGCCAGCCGAGGGGGCCACGAGGGATGCTCATCGAGGGCCCGCCCGGAAAGCTAGCTTTCAGTGGTCTCGTCAGCAAGCGCTTTGCCTACGCGAGGCGCCACAGGCTCACCATCCACGGATCCCCTGAGTGTGCACCGCGTGATCGTGTCCGGCAGGAAGCGAGAAGCACAATCCATACGCTGATGAGGTCCACCGACCATTAAGCCTTTGTGGGGGCAACCACGCGAACGAGGTGTGGAAGGCCATGACGGAAGTTTGCTTCCCATGGCAGCGGTGGTGGACTGCGCGTCGGGGTGTAGCAGGTTGCGCGGGCGCGGCGAGTGCGGCGATTGCGCAAGGGAGGTTTGGGAACCATGGGGAACTTGGATGTCGTACGGGAACACTTTCAGAGGAAATGGGGGGGGTGTTGGATTGCCAAAGAGGAAATGGGAAAGACATGGGGAAGTTCAGAAAGGCGCGGGGAAATTGGGATTGACATGGAGGAGTTCGGAAAAAGGTAGGGGGAAGTTGGCAGACGGGAATCTGGTGAAGGATTCTGTCCTGTCAGGGGCCCCCTTGAGAGGCTCCTTGGCCATTTGGAGCCACCTTGGAGCGGTCTTGGGGCCTCTTGGAGGCATCCAGGAAGGCATCTTGAACCATACTCGGCTATTTTCAACAATGAACATCTCGGGGTACCGAGGGACCTCTTGAAGCCATCTCGGGCCATCGTGGACTTAGACCATCCAACCGATCGCGACCCAGCCGTCGAGACCCAGGGGTTTGGCTGAGGAAGCGCACCAAATTGCCTCCGCCCATCGGGCTGGTCGGAGCTCTTGATCTCCCCCGACAGTAGCCCGACGGGCCAAAGGGCCCCCTCCCCCGGCTTTGGGCGGATTGGCCGCGCGAGCCCAACAGGAGCTCTTGCTCTTTTCGACGCGGACGTTGTTCCCTGTCGGTCTCGGGCAACGCTTGTTGTTGGGCATTGTGTCATTCTTTCCCGTACTCAGCCCGGGCGTCCAGGCCAAAAGCGCGAACCGAAGGGGGCCCCTGAACCCCCAGCCTTGGCTGGGAAGGGTCCAGAGCCTTTCGGCCGGAGCCCCAGGGGACTTGGAGCCCCCCAGCCTCAGCCGGAGGCCCGGCCCGGGTCCTCCGAGCGGCCCGAGACGAGCGCACCACGACCGCACAGAGTTTGCCCCGCCCAACGGGCAGCGGCACGCCCCCGCCGCGGCGGGGGCGCGCCGCGGAGCCGCCCCGTTCGCGCGATGCGGGCTGGGGCCGTCGCGGTCGTGGGCGGCGGGGCACGGGCCGCCGACCGAGATCGGCGGGGCAGCTCTTGGCGCTTCGCCCGAAGAAGAAAGATTTTAGGTGCGCGGCTCTAGTTTGCTCCTGTTGTTTCTAGACGCTTCGCCCACCAGTTTATTTGGGAACGCCTCACGCGCCTTTTTGGCTGCGCTTGGTCTCCTCGGTGTCTGTCCTCAGGCTCCCTGGATGCACCTTTGCATGCCCGTTCAGGGGCTGTCTCAGTCTCCCTGGATTGCACGTCGGCTCTGCCGCCCTGGGCGCTGCCCCTCCCCCGCCGCCTGATCCGCGGCCCCCGCGCGCGCTCGGCAATTTAGTCGCGGCCGTAGCCCGCCCGCGACCTCCCGCCGCTGGCGCTTCCGCCTGCGGCTGTAAAAAAAAAAGTATCCGCACCAGCCCGTCCAGAAACGACGCCCAGGCGAGTAGAGGGTCGTCCTGAGGGGCTTTTCGGCGTCTTGTGTGCCTCGGGGGGGCTTCTGTGGGCCGTTCGGGATCCTCTTTGGGGCCTCCTGGGGGCCTCTTGGGGCCTCTTGGGGCCATCTTGGGGCCTCTTGGGGCCTCTTGGGGGTCTCTTGGGGGCATCCTGGGGGCCTCTTGGGGGGCCTCTTGGGGCCACCTTGGGGCCATCCTGCGGCCTCGTGGGGCATCCTGGGGGCCTCTTGCGGCCATCGTGGAGGAAATCGATCAAAGAAGAGGGGAGCTTTAATTAGCGCTGCCCCCTCACAAGGCCAAAATGGGGCCCAAACCATGGTAAAATCAATGATTTTGGCTTCCTCGCCGAGGCCGTTTTGGACGCTCGGACTGCTCGCGGCCCCCCCCGTCCAGGTCAGTGGGGAGGGGGTAGGGGCAGGGGTAAACCCCTCCCCGAAGGGAAAGAGGGAGGGGTGGAAGAGGAAACGCCCTAAACCACCGACGCCCAGAGGGCTGGTGGGATTTGTAGGCCCGCGCCCGGACTTACGACTCGCCGCTTGCGCTCTCGCGCTGCGGCCGCGACCAAGCGAGGAAGACGAACGCCATGAGCATAGACTTCTGGCGCTCCGCGCGGCTCTCTCGGATCTGCGCGGGGGCCCCCCTCTGGCGGCGCGTCCGGCTCCGCCCCTGGCGCGCTCTGCGCGGCAGGGAGGGTGGGCCCCGGCGCAGATCCAAGACATCCGCGCGGAGCGCCAAAAGTTATGATGTTTATGGCGTTTCTTCTTCTTTTGACGAGCGAGCAACTCACACCCATACCCATAGGAGGGTCGAGAGGAGGGGAACTGGCTATGGGTATGGGTGCGACGTGTCGGACCTTGGGGGAAGTTCCCGTTCGAGCGGGGACCCCCATCCGACAACACGCACCCCCAAAGACATTTTTCCGTCCCACCTATGGGTATGGGTGCGTGTTGTTCGATCCTCAGTTTTTCCATCCGCGCATCTCCACCGGCCCATCCAGCAGCGATTCCCAGGCGAGTTGCCTTGAGCAGGGAAGTGCAGGAACATGCACCGGGGCGGCCCCCATGGGTTGGAAAACACCTTCCCGCGCCCTGAGGCCCTCCGCGAGCTTGCGGTGGCCACCCTGGGTCCAAGTCGATTGCGGCTTCGGGCCTCAAGTGTGCCCATGGCCCAGTGCCGCCGTGGACGCAGGTCGCGTGGGAGCGGAGGGGGCGCGCGGAATTTGACGGCGCCCTTCCCAATTTTCTCACGTCGGCCCGATGTTCCCCCAGGGCCATCCGACTTCTCCATGTTAGAGCGTGTTTCTGTATCGCTGTGGGCATAATGGTATTACAACCCCCCCGGCCCCCCCTACAACGTAACGCCCCTCCCCCCAGCGCGCTTTGGGCACTGCCGCCGTGCGCATCAGGATCCGCATCGGCGTCCGCATAGGAGTCCGCATAGGAGCCTGGTCCGCATTGGAAATCTCATAGGGATCCGCAAAGGCATGCGCATACGCATCTGCATAGGGATTCGCACGGATCTGCGCATGGACATCAACATAGGCATCTGCATTGGGATCCGCATCATGCTCGGGATCCGCAGAGGTATCCGCATAAGGATCTGCGCATGGATCCGCATCGGGATCTGCCGTGGAATCCGCATCGGGATTCGCATAGGAGCCCGCACTGGGATCCGCGTAGGGATCCGAAATTTTGGTTTTGTGTTCCGGAGCCACACGGCGGGGGGGGTGCGTTATATTTCCCCCCCCCCCGGCCCCCCCCCCTTCATGCCCATTATCGCCAAAAACAAAGGAACGCACTCTTAGTATCGCCTCGCTCGAACGTCCCCATGCCAATGCGAACTCCCCCCGTGACTGCCCACTTACGCGTGCCACCGCGCCAACGCGCGAGCCCCCTCATGGCCATCCAACCTCCTCCGCCTCGAACCGCGCCAGACACTTCCAGCGAATGCGTGTGTGCTCAATGGTCCGTGGATCTCGTCAAGCCATAAGCAGTGCCCCGCATGACGCCCCGAACCAGATCAGCCGACGTCTCAGATCATCTAGCGCGAGCCCCGCTCAGAATATGATGCATGTTGGCCCGCGGAGCTCAACCGTCCCAGCGCGGCAGGATATACGAAGTACGAGATCAAGGAGCAGCCGTAAACGCCTGATCAATTTGCGCCCCCTTGGATCATTAGGTCGAGCGTCAGCGGGCGCCCTGTTCGCCTGAACGTGCAGGCTCCGCGGACGCATTGATGGGCGCCAGGGGTGCTGGGTGCCACCATCGCCCACCGCATCCCGGAGTGGAGCCCCCAGCCTCGGCCAGACGCTTTTGCCGTGGAAGACGGACCGCCATGGACTTTGGACAGTTTCCCCGAGCAATGTGCCTGCCAGTACCGTGGACTTGATGCCAAGAGCCATTGCACACGCTCGAGGCTTGCGAAACTAGTTCGTCTGCCACCCGTGCGTCTTGTTCCTTGCCGCGAAGCGTCGTATCGTGTCTCTCTTTTTCTCCAGAAGAACCACTGGACGTCGCGGTCCTCTGCCAAAGGATCGGACGTCGAGGTCGTCTAAGGGAGGTGACATCAAAGAGGATCGGGGGCAGGTGCAGCGTTGTCGAACGAGAGGGGGCGTTCGAATCGGTGTCGCCTGGGGACAGTGTCGAACATGATCGACCCACGAACCCGGAAAGGAATATAGAAATGTAAGGCATGGATACGTTTCAAAGATTCTTGATTGGGCGACGGGCAAATGCAATGTTGAGTCTATCGATCTTGATGTACTGTACCGAGGGCTGTGCTTTGCTGCGCCGTGCTGAATTGCAATGTGCCATGCCGCCTTTGCATCCGAGTCCTGACCGAACTGGTCTGGATCTTTAACTCGAGCTGCCTGAGCACATAGTAGCTGCCCCAGAGCTATTTGACAGGGGGGCATGCTAGGAGGACGCGCCGCGGAACGTCCCAAGTGACGCGCCAGGCAACGTGCCAGGGGACGTGCCATGGGGACGCACCGCGGGACGTGCCAAGGGAACGCGCTACGGAACGTGCCAATGGACGTGCTACGGGACGTGCCAGGGGACGCGCCGCCAACGAGCCAGGGGGACTCGCCACGGGGCGCGACACGGAACGTGCCAGGGAATGTGCCAGGTTGCAATGTTGAGTGTATCGATTTTGATGCACCGTGCCGAGGGCCCGAGGGCTGTGTTGTGCCTTGGCGACCTGGCTCGCTCAAGACATTCTCAACACATCCTCATGCTGGACATCCGCTTGGGCAACCTGGACACGTGCAAACAAGCGTCTCGCTCGTGTCTTCCTCAACACATCCTCATGCTAGACATCCACCCGGGCGACCTGGACGCGTGAAAACAGGCGTCTCGCTCGAGACAGCCTCAACAAATCCTCATGCTAGACATCTGCCTGGGCAACCTGGACGCGTGAATCCAAGCGTCTCGCTCGAGACATCCTCAAGACCTGGGCTCATGAAAACAAACATTTCACTTGAGAGATCCTCTGAATTCTGGTCCCCAGGGGAGGACAATCGATAACACAAAACAAGCTTTCGCTTGAGACATCCTCAGCAGTATCTGCAAAACAAGCGTTTCGCTCGGGACAGTCTCAACTTTTTATTTTGCCGGCCCCACTCGACCTTGTTATTTATCGCATATTGAATTCGCGGGCCCTACAGCCGTCGATTCGGGGGTAAACCTCTAAAGGAGGACCTTGGGCCGGAGCATTTTCCAGGAAAAAGATGGCAGAATATGCAGGCGAAGGGTGTGTGCTATAGCTTGCGCAGTCGCCCTTGCGATTGAGACGTGCGCAGACTTTCAGGGTTACCCGAGATCACGCTGTGGAATTTTCTGTTTGCATTGCCGAGGGGTCACGAGGTCGACACGCTCTCTTCCTGTCCCCGTCGATGCTCCTGAGTATCGTTTGAACGATCCCCATCCCCAGCGGTGTGGCCTGGGCCCCGCTGGCCGATTTGCCCCCTGGATGGGGATACAGGTTGTTCTCTTCGGGCTTCGAGGGGTGTATCCCAGACTGGGGTGGGTAACTTGGGGGGGGTTCTCGAAGGGGCTGGAGATGGGGATGGGGATCGGAGAAGGGATGCCGAGCTCCCCCAGCCCGCCCCTCGCCTCTCCGTGTCGACGGCGACATCTCCATAGACTGAAGTCGGGCGTGCCCCCCTACAGGGGGATTTGCGACGAAAAATAATCGATACCCCGAAATATTCCCAAATGGTCAAACATATTATAATAAAATAGTTCCCAGACTATTGTTTTATTATTTTGTAATTATGCCCCCTGTAGAGGGACAGGCCCGACTTACCCATAGACCCTCACCTTCGGAGCTCCCCGCGGATTCCTCGCCTCGGCGCTGGCCCCCCCCCCCCCCCTGGCGGCGCCCGCGGCGCCGCCGCGCGCGCCCCCAGGTGCGCGCCGCGCTCCGCGACTCCCCGCGCCAGGGGGGGGCGAGCGGCTCCGCTCCGAGGAATTCGCATAGGGGGCACCGACGGCATAGGTCTGTCCAGAAGGGCGACAAATATCGCACGGGCACCGAGCATCGTCGATTCCCAGGGAAACATGGGCGCGTACGGGAAGGGGGGGGGGAGGGCGAGCGGCTCTGAGCCAAGAAATCTGCGCGGAGCTCCGACGGCATAGGTCTGTCCAGAAGGGCGACAAATATCGCACGGGCACCGAGCATCGTCGATTCCCAGGGAAACATGGGCGCGTATGGGAAGGGGGGGGCGAGCGGCTCTGAGCCAAGAAATCCGCGCGGAGCTCCGACGGCATAGGTCTGTCCAGAAGGGCGACAAATATCGCACAGGCACCGCTCATCGTCGATTCCCAGGGAAACATGGGCACACATGGGAAGGGGGGGGGAAGCGAACCTCCAGAAACATTGGAACAACTGTGGGAGATCCTGGGATGTGTGCGTATTTCTTTGCATGACCTTGGCCCCCCTGATGTCTGCCGCTGTTTCCTCTCCTGCGATATCTGCAGGGAGGTCTGCGTGGGTCCGGGCGGCGGTGGGGCAGGTGCGCGGACGAGGGCTCCTCGCTGTTGGCCGATGCAGCCCGGGCGGCACTGCAGGCCTGGCTGCGGGAAACCCTGCCTGCTCGTCATTGCCTTGGCTTGGCTCGGACGTGTGCATTTTTCCTCGGTGAGGACCATCGAGAAGCATCCTGGATTCAGTATCGTTTAAACGATCCCCATCCCGATCCCCTTCGAGACCCCCACCAAATTACCACCCCAGTTGGGGATACACCCCTCGAAACCCAAAGGATACGGCCTATATCCCCATCTAGGGGGTAAATCGGCCAGTGGAGCCCAGCCCACGCTGGTGGGGATGGGGATCGGTTAAACGATACTCAGGGAGTTCTGCCTGCTCACCATTGCCTTGGCTTAGCTCGGACGTGTGCACGTTTCTTCGGTGAGGACCATCGAGAGGCATCCTGGATCACCTGGCAAAAGGAGCACGCACGACACCGAACAATGCACGGGGCATGGACGTCTGAGCGATGGCGAGTTGCTGGCTGCCGTGTGAGACTTCTCGGCCCAACCGTTGCACGACTCATGCGAAGAACAACCACCTGTGCAAGCATACACGTTCGGAGCTCGGCGCGGATTTCTGACATCGGCGCTGGGCCCCCCCCTGGCGGCGCCTCTGGCGCCGCCGTTGGCGCGTGCCAGGGAGGGGGGGTCCGGCTCTGATCCAAGAACGCCTCGTGAACTCCCGAAGGTTATTTCTTGAAGGATCTATTCCCCTGTCGCTGCATGGTTCATCGCGCCCCGCACGCGCTCGTGCTTTAGGGTAATGTTTTTCGTATATGGTCTGTGCCGTTCAGCCTTTCCATGAGTGCATCATGTTTTTGATGCAGTCTTGCGTGGGATGTGCGCCTGCCTAACGCAGTGTGTCGGAGGTCTGTTCAGTAGCAGCAACGAGAGCGTCCGATGCGTATGATTCATTGTTGTACTTTCTCTGTTCGTTGTGGTGCAGTGTGGATGGGAGGGCGTTACACCGCGTGTTCACTTACGATCCCACTACTACGCGACAGTTTGCCATTGGCAACCATGCAAGCGTCTGTGACCACACAACTGTATTACTGCATTGCCTTGCGTATAGACTGGCTGCTAAGACGTTTGGCCGATGGTGCGCTAAGCATGGCAAGTGCCCTCCAGAATGTACTGCGCTGTCTATTTCAGTCATTTTGAGGGGGGGTGAAACCAGACCCCCCACCCCCCATGGATGGAGGGGGGGGTCCGAACCCTCCCCCCCTCCCTTCCTTCCCTGCTTCCCCTTTTTTTCTCGGGCTGGCGCTTGTGTCGGCGGCGGCTGGCGGCGGCGGCGGGGACGACGATTTTTTTTCTGGGCCGGCGCCGGCGCCTGCGGCGGCGGGCGTCGGCGGCGGAGAGCGTCGACGAGGACGACGGTGGTGGTGGTGTTGGGTTGTGGTGGTGGTGGTGGCGGTGGTGGTGGTTGTGGTGGTGGTGTGGTGGTTTGTTGTGGTGGTGGTGGTGGTGGTGGTTGTGGTGGTGGGTGGTGGTGGTGGTGGTAGTGGTGAAGGTGGTTTGGTGGTGGTTTGTGGTGGTGCTGGGTTGTGGTGGTGGTGGTTTGGTGGCGGTGTGGTGGTGGTTTGTGGTGGTGGTGGTGGGTTGTGGTGGTGGCGGTGGTTTGTGGAGGTGGTGCTGGGAGTGGTGGTGGTGACGGTGGTGGTGGTGTGGTTGTTTGTGGTGGTGGCGGTGGGTTGGGCTGCTAGTAGTGGTGGTGGTCGTGACACTGGTGGTGGTGGTGTGGTAGTGATGGTTGTGGTGGCGGTGGTGGTGGTGATGGTGAGTTGTGGTGGTACTGGAGGTGGGCTTTTGTGGTTGTGGTGGTGGTGATGGTGAGTTGTGGTGGTGATGGTTGTGGTGGAGTGGTGGTTGTGTGGTGGTGGTTTTTTGGTGGTGGTGGTGATGATGGTGGTGGTGGGTTGTGGTGGTGGCGGTGGTTTGTAGACGTGGTGCTGGTGGTGTTGGCAGTGGTGGTGGTGGTGTGGTGGTTTGTGGTGATGGCGGTGGGTTGTGCTGCTAGTGGTGGTGGTGGTGGTTGTGGCGGTGGTGGTGGTGGTGTGGTTGATTGTGGTGGTGGTGGTAGTGGTGGTGGGTTTTTGTGGTGGTGGTGGTGATGGTGAATTGTGGTGGTGGTTGTGGTGGTGGTGGTGGCTGTGGTGGTGGTGGTGGTGGTGGTTGTGTGGTGGGTTGGTGGTGGTTGTGGTGGTGGGTTGAGGCGGTGCTGGTGGTGGTAGTGGTGGCGGCGGGGGTAGTGGTGGTCATCGTCGCTGCATCTCCGCCGTCGCCGGCGCGAGCGCCAGCGCTGCTGGCCGCCGCCAGCGCCGGCGCCGGCGCCAGGGGGGGGGGGGTTTGAACCCCCCCCGGCGCCCAGGGGGGGAGGTGTTTGAACCCCCCCCGCTCCCCCCCCTTGGGCTGCCCCTGGTCATCGTCGCTGTGTCCCGCCGTCGGCTTTGCTGGCGGCCGCCAGCGGGGGGGAGGAGGCGTTGACCCCCCCCCCCCCTCGCCCCCCCCCTCGGCGCCGGGGGGGGGGGGTTGGGGGGGATGGGAATCCCCCTGGTTTTGATCGACGGCGCCGAGTGCTGGGGGGGCTCCCCCCCCCCCGATCGAAACGTGCCGCCGACTGTTCCCAAGGCAAGCGCCCGTCAAACGCGTTTTCTCTTTTATCGGTGTGTGTATATATATACACACACACACACCTGTAACGCCCCTCACGGGGGTAGAAACCAAGCGTCGTGTTGTCTCCTCCTCCACTCGTGTTCTTGCGCCAGACGTCCACCCCTGAGGCTCTCGGAAGTTTCCACAAGGCTCGCAGGTGGTCAGAAAAATGCCCCGAACATCGAAGACTAAGTTATTTGAGGTTTCGTCTTCGACTCCGTTCCCAGAGCCCCGACGTGGTGTCTGTTCATCGGGTCGGCGCCCTTGTTGTCGTGAAATTCTCCTCGGAGGGCCTCTTTGTGACGCTCCCGAGAGAGGGGAGGAGGGAGGAGGGAGGAGGGAAGGAGGAGGGAGGAGGAAGGGGGACGGATGGGAAGGAGGCGGATCTCGCGCACGGCGCTATCGGAGCCATCGAGGCTACGGATGAGGTAGGAGGAGGAGGAGGAGGAAGAGGAGGAGGCGGAGGAGGAGGAGGAGGAGAAAGAGGAAGAGAAGGAGGACGATGGGGAGGAAGGATTTGAAGCAGGACGGATGAGGAGAAGGATGACGACGACGAGCAGGAGGAGGAGAGGGAATGACGCCCGTCCTGGAGCCTCTTGGTGTCGCCGTGGCTCTCCTAGAGCGTGCTGGGGGTCCTGTGGCCTGTTCGGGCTCTTCGGGGCCTCTTGGGGCCTCTTGGAGCCTCCTGGGCCCTCTGGAGCTCCCCGAGTGTAATTCAAAGTGGGTCCTCGGGGGGGCTCTTGAGATCTCGTGGGCTCTCCCGGGGCCGCCATGGGCCCTCCTGGAGCCTCCGTGGGCCCTCTAAGAATTCTCTCGCGGGGGCGGAATGATGAAAACAATTTCACGCATAGGGGCCTTTCCGTTGAGAAGGGGGGCGCGGTGCAGAGTAGGTCCTCCTGGGGCCCTCGGGAGGTCTCCTAGGCACTCCCGAGGCCGCCATGGGCCCTTCTGGAGCCTCTGGGGGCCTCTAAGAAGCCTCTCGCGGGGGCTGAAAAATGATGACAGTTTCATGGAGGGGAGCCTTTCCGTTGAGAAGGGGAGCGCGGTGAAAGGTAATAAAGTGACGCCAGTGTCGCATTTGAGGCCCCAAATCGTCTTTGGGCACCTCGGGCGCGAATCCCGCTCCCCCATAGTACGGCGCGATTTCCCCTCCCCCCGCTGTCCCGCCGGACCCCGGGAGGGTGATTTTTGTGGTTTTTGCTTGTAAGAAACACTTCCCCCCTCCTCTCGACGGTGACGGAGGGCAGGCGGCGGGGGTGGGCGGGTTGGCGGGGTGGCGGGTTGGCTGGGGTTGCGGGGTGGCTGGTTGGGCTGGTTGAGCTGGTTGAGGTGTTTTGGTGGCTGGTTGGTTGGGTTGGCTAGTTGGGCTGGCTACGGCAATTGGTTTCGATCTCTCTCTCTCTCTCTTTCTTTCTCTCTCTTTCTCTCTCTGAACGCAGTCGTTGTTGTTTTCCCATTGCTGTTGACATGTTTGCTGCTTCTGTCGAGCCCATACCTTCGACACTCTCTGTCTTACGCAGAGTGAATCAAGGGAGGCGAATGGTCATACACTGTCCCTGGCCGCGTGGGTGAAGTGAGGTTCCGCGCAGCGGATTGGTGATGTTGTCGTTGTTGTTGCCGTTGTTGTACTTATCATGTTCCTTATCATTATCGTTGGATGTATTGTTGTTGTTGTTGTTGTTGTTGTTGTTGTTGTTGTTGGTACGGTTGTTGTTGTTGGTGGGGTTGTTGTTGTCGTCGTTGTTGTTGGTGTTGTCGTTGTTGTTATTATTGTCAAACTTGCTGCTGCTGCTGCTGTTGTCGCTGTTGTTATTTAATCGCTTCGCTCATTCTGCCGGCGACCTCTTGGGAGTCTCTTGGGGGCCTCTTGGGGACCTCTTGGGAGTCTCTTGGGGCTCCTCGGCGGCGTCTTGGGGGCCCCCAGGGCCTCTTGGGGGGCTTTTGTGGGCCGCTTGGGGCGGCAGGGGGGGTAGTCGATTGCGGCTCCCCCTTCGGAGGCCACGATCCTCGTGAAGGGTGTCGAAAAATTGCCCGGTCCGGGGTCTCCTCCCGGGACTTGCCTGGGGTATTTTTCGCCCGGGGACCCCCAGGGGCCGCCCCGCACGCGCGAATTAGAAATATTGTTAACCAGTTGCCGGAGATCTTACCACGCCTTTGGCCCGTTGGGCCGGCGAATTGTTTTCAGTGTTGTTGTTGTCGTTGCATACTTACTCATGTCCAAAGCGTAATTGTTGCCGATATCCGGAAACGGTTCCGCGCGCTCTCGCTTCGACGCCGGCTACATTTTCTGTGAAAGCTAGGCTCCCGCTTCAGCGTTGGCTTCAGTCTACATGTGGGCCCTTTGGAAGCCCCAGTTTCGACGACAGCGGTTCTCGCTCGATACGTCTTCCCAATTTTCTCCGAGACCCTGGCCAGAGAGGCCCCCGAACTCAGGAACGGCGCTTTCGCTGGAGTTTTCCTCGCAATTCAGTCAAGTTGGCAGAGGCCCAGCCACGACGACAAGGGCTCGTGCTCGATACTTCCTTATGATATGCTCCGAGAGCACCTGGCCAGGAAGGCACCCGAACTCAGGAACGGCACTCTCGCTCGAGACATTCATGTAATCCAGGCAAGTTGGTGGAGGCCCAGACACGGCGACAAGGGCTTCCGTTCGATATTTGTCCATCGGTATTCCGAGAGCCCCTGGCCAGAGAGGCTCCCGAACTCAGGAACGGTTCTCTCGCTCGAGACTTCCTCGCACTTCAGTCAGTGGCCGACAAGGAAGATATCCCCCCCGGAAGGGGGCGCAATCGAAGACGAAGTGGGCGGGTATCGAGGGTCGGGGTATACAGAGTGCAAGACACGCGCGCCAGTAAGAGCGAACAGTCTTACAATGATTGTTGTTGTTGTTGTTGTTGTGGTTGTTGTTGTGGTTGTTGTTGTTGTTGTTGTTGGTGGTGGTGGTGGTGGTGTTGTTGAACATTATTAATTCTAAAGAATAATTATTGTTGGGCCCCCTGGTGCGCGCCCCCCCTGCGCCGCCTAGGCCGCGGCTACATTTTCATCATTTTCGTGAGGAAGCCTCAGGTAATACGATGTAATCAAGATCCGGTTGTTTTGTTGTAATCCGTTTTCCCTTGCAAAAAACACTATAAAATGACATTTCTTGTTCTAATATAATCAAATTTCAAGAATCCCTTGCAAAAAATAAGGTAAAGTGGACATTCGCGCGCGCAAGACGAAATCCTTCCAAAAGCTTAGTGTTCGCAGCGATTTTAACATAAAAACATCAAAAAACCAATGGTTTTTCAACAAAAAAATGTCAAAATCTCATCCCGCGCGCTCTTGCGGATTCGTAGGAAACCCAACACTTTTTAAACATTTCTGTCAAACGGGCTTTTGCGAGCAACTTTTTCGAACTTCTGCGACAACGGTTGCGCACCTGCCAGGGCCATCATCCCTGTCAAATAATACCATGCGGGACACATTCGTTTTTTCTTCGCGCGCGCACGCCGAAATCTCCAAAAACCATTGGGCTTCTTAAGAATTTTAGCACCGCGCATCATAAAATCACACGAATCGCACCGTAGGTCCTCGAAAAACACCTGCACGACTTTTCAAAATTTCTACCCGCCAACTTCTGTGGGTGTACGAACGTAGGCTTAACAACTTCTGTGGGTGTGTACTCCACGCCAGTGTAGTAGCCACGGTCGTCCGCAGGCCACGAAGTGAAGTGTCCGAACGTCATAGGGCGGGAAGCTGGGTGTGGGTGGTGGCGAAGAGTCGTGTGGATATTTGGTAGAGCTTGCACTGCCCCCCCACAAAGTGGGGGTATTGGCTGGCGTCGCATGAAAACCCTGGCACTGGTGAGAACACTGAGCGTTCGGGTAAAGTGATTGTTGTTGTTGTTGTTGTTGTTGTTGTTGTTGTCGTTGCTCTTGTCGTTGTGGTTGTTGTTGTTGTCTTTTCTGGTAATTGCCATTATTGGTGTTGGTGTTGTTGCGATTGTGGTTGTTGTTACGCTTGTTGTTGTTGTTGTCGTTGTTGCTGTTGTTATTATTAGTGTTGTCTTTGTTGTTGTCGTTGTTGCTGCTGCTGTTTTTAATGGAAATCTCATTTCTGAAGAACAAGTATTAGTTATCCCCCCCTCCAGTAACCCGTGTATTGCGAAGGCCTTTCGGCCAGAGCCGCTGACCCTGAATGGCGACGACGACGACGACAGGAGACGACGACAGGACGATGACGACAAGACGACGACGACGACGACGACGACGACGACGACGACGACGACGACCAGCAGCGCTCTCGGGTGCCTCTTTGGGGTAGTTCGGGGGCCTCTCGGGAGGCTCTTGGGGGCCGTTTGGGAGCCTCGTAGGGGCCTCTTGGAGCTTCCTGGGGATCTCTTGGGGGCCCCTTGGGGCCTCTTGGGGGGCTTCTTATGGACCTCTGGGGGCCTCCTGGGCGCTTCTCAGGCCGAGGGCTCGAAATGACCGTTCGGGTCGCTCGTCTGGGCTCCCTCTTGGAGCTTGGGGGCATCGGCTGTCTTTGGGGCATGTTGGAGGCCTCTTGGGCCATCTTGGGGCTGTCTTGGGGGCCTCTTGGCCTGTCTTGGAGCGTCGGGAAGCTGCTGACAAGGCGAGAATGCCGAAATCTTTCAAACACCGAAGGAAACTCTATGATTTTGTCCCATGGGGTCCTCTTGGGAGTCCTCTTTGAGGCCTCTTAGGGCGTTTTGGAAACCTTTTGAGCCGTCTGGAGGCTAGTTTGGCGACTTGGACCGATGCTTCAGCCATTCGGGGCCCTCGAGCACCATCTTGGGGGCATCTTGGGGCACTTTTGCGTTCTCGGAGCTTTTGTGGGTCCCCGAACCGCCCAGGGGGATTCGTATCTGGGTGGCGACCCCCCCCCTGGGGAGGAGTCGTATCTGGCCAGGTGGCGAACTCCCCTGGGACCTCCCCCCTTGGACCCCACCGAGACCCCCCCAGGTACCCCCCCCACCGCGGGGAAGGGATCAAAGGGAAGAGGCTTCTTTTCGACTCAACTACAACGGGCCTAGGGAAAGGATAGGGGAGCGGCGAAGGCGACGACGACGACGACGACGACTACGACGACAACGCCCACGACGACGACGACGACGAGTTCAACGGAACAGCCTCTTCCACACGCCGCCAGGATCGGCAGATTTATCAATTGAAGTGCCCCTCCCGGGGCTTTCACTGTTGTGCCACCAGACCCTGCCCTTGGTCCCCGGTTCAGCAACAACGGCTCCCGCCTGAGACCTCCCCGCAATTTATTGGGGAATCGCGCTCTCGCGCGGGCTTTCGGGTGGGATAACCCTCCAATGTATTCCAACGCCGCGCCCTCGACGCTCAGGAATCGCGCTCTCGCTTTGGTTTTTCTCGCGGTTCACTTTGGAAACGTTCTATCGCTCGAGACGTCCTCGCGATTCATGCAGTATTCACGCTTCGGCAGCCCGCCTGGTCGACCTGGCCGCTTGGGCCCGCCTTCCCGACCCGCCCGTGAGGGTCTACCCGCCCGATCAGCTCGTCTGGTTCTGCCACGCGTTTTCTGCTCATCCTTCTCCCTCCTCCTTCCATCTGTCATCTCTTCCCCATGTGTTGGGTGCTACACCACCTAGACGCGGCAGATGAGGATGATGTACCCAAAAAGGGGGGTACGACCAGAGACAAAGAGGGCGTGTGTCGAGGGCCTGGGATACACGTGTTGACTGGTACGCAAGCAGGTGGGAGCAAGCAGTCTTAAACTGACTGTTGTTGTTGTTGCTGCTGTTGTTGTTGTTGTTGTTGTTGTTGTGATTGTTGCTGTTGTTGCTGCAATTGTTGTTGCTAGTGTTGGGTTTGTTGTTGCTGTGGTGATTGTGGTTGTTGTTGTGGTTGATGTTGCTGTTGGTGCTATTGCTGTTGTTGTGTGTTGTTGCTCGTGTTATTGTTGTCTGTCGTACGATTTCTGATGAGTGTTGTTTATTGTGTGTTAGTTGTTGGATGATTGTTGTTGTTTGTTGTTTGTTGCTTGTTTTTTGCTGCCTGTTGTTTGCTGTTTGCTGTCGCCGTCCCACGCACGACACGGCCCGCGACCCACCCGCGACCCACCCGCGACCCGCCCGCGACCCATTCGCGACCCACCCGCGACCCACCCGCGACCCGGCCCGCGACCCACCCGCGACCCACCCGCAACCCACCCGCGACCCACCCGCGACCCACCCGCGACCCATCCGCGATCTGGCCCGCGACCCACCCGCGACCCACCCTCGACCCACCCGCGACCTACCTGCGACCCAACCCGCGACTTACCTACATTGCTTTGACAAAAAAGTCGGTGCCTGCGGCGGGCTCGTTATACAATTTGTGAGAATTAGGTGCCTGCGGTAGGCTTCTTCAGAGCTTCGCAGACTGCCGACGTCCGCGCCGCCCCCTCACTCTTACCCGCAATTGCGCGGTGTATTGTTGTCCGCCGTCGCATGTTCTTTCATGATCGTGGCGCAGTTGAGCCAATCGGCCACGAAATTGACATGTCGTGTCAACGTTGCAGACTTTACATGTGGTTTGAGACAATTGTTTCACCCCTTAGCGATAGCGAGCCTTTCTGGGGAGGGCGATTCGCGCTGGCGCCGTTTGGGAGTGCTTCGTAATGGCCAATTCCCAGACGGCCCCGTTCGTGGACGTGACAAGGGGGGAGGGGGGCGGGGGTTGGGACCGGTAACGAGCGGTATCACGAATACAGTCGGACCGAGGCATAAGATCGAGGTCGGTTCGGGGAGGGTGCCCTAGTGTTCTTCGTGTTGGTTTGATGCTCTTGTGCATTCTGGGGAGGATGTCCTTGGATGTTCTGTTTGTTCTGGCCGACGGAGGGTCTCACGTCCTTGAGGGTGTTCTTCTGGCCTAGATCCGACTGTAATCAAAAGGGGCTGTTGTCCTCGAACCGAGGCCTCTTAGATGGTGTCGGAGTAGATGGGGTCGGAGGATCGCGCCGCATCGCCGACGCCTCGCCCATGCGGCCCATGCGGCCCGATGTGGGGCCCGATTTGCGTAACGTCGGCGTCGCCGATGCATCGCTGGCGTCGACGAAGCATCCATCGACTGCATCACCGATGCATCGCGATGATGCGCGATCCTCCGACCCCATCTTCTCTGACCCCATCCAGAAGGCCTCTACCGCCGAAGGGCACGTCTGCACGTGCGCGTCGCTTCCTCGTGGGTCTGCTTCCTGCCTGCCTCCTGGCAGGCGGCAGGGCAGCCGCAGCGGAGTGGCGGGCGCCGATGATGGAGTCACTGCGTGCGCATGGGTCCAGACGAGGCGCGCTGTTCCTTTCGCGTGAATCTGCGCGATGGTCGTTGGTTCGTCCAGCTTGCTTTGCCTGTCGTGGTCCAACGACCAGGGGCACGACCACAGGCAGAGCGAGCTGGACTTGCCCGAACGTTCCCATTGCAAAGTCGCGGGCACGAGTTGGCCAAGTTTCGTGTTGAGGGCCGTGCTAGAGGCGGGACGCAGGTGGCAAGACAGGTACGCGTGGAACGGATGTTGATAGAGAGCCAAGCACAAGTTGGGGGAGGAGAGGGTCAGACGGAAGTACGAGATGGGATACACAATTCGCGCAGAACAGAGGCGGGGAGCACAGCATGCGCGCATATCAAGGATCGTGATTTCCCTCGAGGGCAAAATGGGGAAGAAGTATGCACGGGCTTGTCAGCTGGGGCTCGTGGCGGAATTTGTTCGCGGTTGCTGACAGTCCCGCGCTGGAGTAACCGAGTTTTGCGCAAGATCTCCTTCTGTTCAGCTAGAGGTATTCCAAACGCATGCCATGGGGCCATCGGATAAACAGCGCGTTCTGTGGAGGGCAGACTCTGGCACTTCTCTTCACTGACGAACGGTCCAGGATAGCTCACCGATGCCCCACAGCAGCTGGCAATCTGCAGGCTAAGGCACCCAGGTCCCCTCATTCAAAGGACCCATATCCAGCGATGTTTTGGAGTCTTCTTGCGGAGGGTGGCTGGTATTGGCTGGGAGGTAAGCGTCCACATTTTGCCTTGAGCGATCCCCACCCGAGAGGGCGAGGCGGGATAACCTCGAAGGACAAGGCCCCTGGGGGTGTGTGGCGGCCACGGTGTGCAGTCCTCACTCGTCGAAGACGCAGGGTGGGATACCCAGGGAGCACCGGGGCGCTTGGGGCCCAGCGGCCGCGGTACACCCTAGGCGATGCTTACGAAAACTTAAGTTTTCGGCCAGAGTCTCGATTATTCTTAATTTTTGAATGTAAATCCCAAGGTGTTGATAGAAGTTCTGGGTTTTATTCAATTTCTCAGGCTATGAATTTCTTAACCCATGATTTCTTAAGCATTTCGCAGGGTGTATGCATGGTGGGCAAGGCGGGTCGCAAGGCCGTCTTTTTACATCCAGCAGCCCCGACCTGCTTTGTGCAGAACCGTTGATAGCAGTCATCTGCTTTACCTCCTCGCTGAAGTCCACTGGCCACTAACAAAGCTCGTCCTGCTGTATACTGCTGCACGTTTAGTGCTCACCACCAGAGAAGCGCAGCGCGATACCGTCAGCATACACGTTCATGTGGTTTCTGGCGATCATAAGAACCGCTGCAGTGGACCCTAACGCGGAGATCATAGAGGTACACTTCAAGTTGCCAGACGGCTCGCGAAAGACAGTTCTTTGATTCATTGAGCAGTGCATTCCTGTTTTGGTTTCTTAGGTGCACTTCGTCTTGCGCACTGTACACATCGAGCTGGCTATTTTGTGTAAGCATAGCTTCAACACGACCACGCTTTATTCGACCGTATGCATGAGTTTTGAGTGCAAGCGAGCACATCGGGTTGGTCTATTGCTTCTTCCATTCCGCCTGGCGTACTCGATGGTGCTGATGCAGATTGTGCACGTTTACATTCTTGGCATGTGTCTTGCTCGTTGTGTTGATGCATCCTTTCTAATCACCGTTTCCTGGGTACGATATCTTTCCGTATGCGGAGCGTGCTCTCGATGATTCCCCGCTGTTATGTTATCTCTTCGCCAGGTTTCTGTGCCTGAGGGCACGACGCTCTTGGAAGCAGCACATGGAAATGAGGCTTGTTGGGAACCTGGGTTCAGTTCTCTTAGTATGTGTTTCTCCTGTGATTGTTATGCACGCGCTCACATTCACATGCCATGAATGTTACTTCCTTGTCGGGCCGGACCGACTGGTAGGAAAGGGCTGGGCCGAAATTTGCTGCATGCAGCTGGTTTCCGCCCCGCCGCCGGGCCCCTTCTTTTTTCGATGCAGCAAGGCAAGGAATAACCAGCTACGTGAGCTGATTATCAACCCTATCCTTTGTTATCCTACTCTTTCGTTCCCCCCCGACCTTGGCATTCAATGGTGCAACAGACGATCTGAAGAACATGTTTCAGTGCTTTGGTGTCCAACGTGCGTTCTGATCTCCACATGTGCATGGACAGTTGCAACTCCCTCTTTTGGCTCTCGCATTCGCCAAACAACGTAACAACGTTTCTCATCGGTTCGGCTGATGCCACATCTGCTCATGCCACAGATGCTGACACTTGATCGTTTTTTACGGGAAAAGAAGGCGAGAGGAGAGAAAGAGAGAGAGAGAGAGAGACAGGGGGAGAGAGAGAGAGAGAGCTAGAAACACAAGAGAGAAGGAGAGAGAGAGCGAGAGCGATAGAGAGAGAGAGAGAGAGAAAAAAAACAAAGAACACGAGAGCGCGAGAGAGAGAGAGAGCGATAGAGCGAGGGAGGGAGGGAAGGAGGGAGAGAGAGGTCATGAGTAAGAGTAAAACAATTGTGTGTACATGTTCTGCGGCGTGCTCTTCATTGTGTTTGTTGACGGGGGAGGACTGCTTTCGGGGCTTGCCAGGTGCCTTCTCGGGCTTGCTGTGGGGGCCGTTGGGGCAGTCTTGGGGCCCAGGGCGCTCTTTGGGTCGTCTTGGCGCGTTATGAGCGCCTTTTGGGCTGTCTTGGACTCTCTTAGGCGGTCATGGGCCCCTCACGAGATCCGCTTGGGCCGTATTGACCCTTGGGCCCCTTTGGGGCCCTCATGCGCCGTCTGAGGAATTTCTCGGGCAACCACTCGCCGTCTTGGAGCCAGCTGGCTCATTCCTTCGACCATCTTGGGCGCTGACTGTTGCTTCCTTCGGCTTTTCTTGGGGCCCAGGGCTCGAGCTAAACGAGGTTTTGCCGAGTTCGTGGACTTTGTTCGTTTTGATTTCGTTTCGCAGCAAAGGCAGACCGAAGCCAGAAAGGCGGACAAGAAAAACAAGACGAGAAAGAACAATACTGTTCAGCTCCAGCCCGTGCTGTATTGCTTTGCTCGGGGCTTGTCGGATCATCTTAGCATCGTCCTTTGCGGCCCCCCTTGTTGGGAAACGTGAGACTCGGGTGCGCCAGAGCTCGAGTTTGCAGACGCTGTTTGACGAGCGCGTCCCTGGGTTTGTCGGCACAGTTTTCGTGGGATGTCTGCAGCAGGAGCTCGCGCCAAATTTCAGATTGCGTCTCGTCATTTTCATGATGGCCACGTCATCGGCGTCACCCCAACATACTAATACTGTGTGTGCACGCCGCCCCCCAGGGCTGACGCGCGCACCGAGTCATCTTGTAGTATATGCGTCGTGGCCGGCGCTTTCTGGCCATACCGCTCGGGGAATCATCTGCTACAAGATGGGTATATTATATGTTCGGGTCGGACGCGCGCTTCCAAGGCGGACATATAGTATTATCGGGGCGAGCGAAAGCGGGGGATAGGGAAAGGGAGGGGTACGAAATTTGCTGCATGCAGCTGGTTTCGGCACCGCCGCAGGGCCCATTCCTAGATACATGTGGCGCCTCCCGGCGCCCGGCGCCTCGCCGGGAAAATCACCTACTTGAACGGATTCTCTATACCCTACCCTTTGCTATCCCCCCCTTTCGTTCCCCCCGATAGTATGTCTATGTACGTACCACGTCAGGCCAACCCGAGTCCACCGAACCCGATTCTTACGTCTCCCCGACCCTGGCGTTAAGGCGGGCACGACAGGGGGATTTTGGTCGAAACAATGACAATACCCTAAAAATGCTCAAACATAGTAAAAAGTCGTCCCCCGATTATTGTTCTACTATTTTTTATATTCCTGCTGTGGAGGGACAGGCCCGACTTAACCCTGGTGGAGCTGGGCCGCCCGGGTGGCGCCTCCACACGCCCCCTCGGGGCCGTCGGGGGCGAGCCTGGCCCGCACCCCTCCGGGGAGCCGTGGCCTTTTGCCTTCCCCAGGGGGGCACACCGGCTTCGATGGATCGTCGATGCGATGGCAGGGCGATCAACCTTCTGGGGGTGCCCGGATCGTCCTGAACGGCCGCTGGAGACCCGAATTTTGCACCCCAACCAAATTTGTCGGCGAGTGAGGGGGGTAAACGAGAAGGAGAATGCCTTCTCAGAAGGCGGCGGGACTTCTCAGAAGCCCTCGCGCCTTCTTAGAATTTGTCTGTGTCTTCGGGGAAAGTTCAGAAGACTTCTCAGAAGGCTGGATGACTTCCGAACCTTCTAAGAAGGCCGTTTTTTTCTCAGTTCCCCCCCTCGCTCGCCGCCGAGTTGAGGAGCCCAGACATCTGCCGATCCGCTGTTTTCCACTGCGCAGTCCCAGAGGTCCCGACGCCTTCCTCGGAGTTCCCCGGGGCCAGTATTACGCCCCTCGATCCTTCTGTTGAGGACCCCTTGCCCGATGAGGGGCTCCGGAGGCAGAGATCCAGGAAGGACCGCATTGACAAATCATACGGCTGAAGATCTGGGATCACAGCTCCCCCTGGCGTGGCCTGACCCAAACATGTTGATCAATTCTGCGCGCCGCTCCCCAAGGTTCGACGCGCGCTAAGGAATTGCACAGTCTGTGTTCTGGTGGCAGGCCACGGTATATCATAAGATGCGTGTGCTATGTGCTCGGTTCGGAAGTGCGTCTCCGGGGGGGGCACCTACAGTCGGCCCTGATTAGTAGGTCGACCTTGCCAAAGCAAGGGTACCGCTGTGTCCTGTGCCTCGCAGCCCATGCCCCCCACATTCCGATGGCAATGTGGCCCTCGGAAGGGTCTCGTGTCCTCTCGCGCGTCCTGTTCAATCAGGTCCCACTGTACAGTGCCGTTTTTTTATACATGCTCCGCGTGCGGATCATGTATTAAACATGCAGGGTTTAGTATTAAATCATGTATTAAACATCATAATTTTTGTTAAAATGAAAACAATCCGATGTATCAAGAATTGCCCTGTAGTACAGGTACGTCCTTCAGCGCGCCCCCCGGTCGTACCTGCTCGGCGAGTCTGCTCTCGGAGCTCTCTCGTGGGCCCCGGCCCCGCCCCTGCCCGGGGATGGGGGCGCGAGAGGCGGCCGGGCCCCGCGTCGGGGCCGGGGTCCACCGAGACACCTTTCTCCTGCACGAGCGAGCTGGGTGCGGAAAGCATGGGCACAGTGCCCGGCAGCAGTGCCTGTGCATCTTGCGCAGGGCTCGCTGTCCACGCCGCCGCGGCCCGTGTCCATTCGAGACAGAGGGCCGCCTGCCCAACAGCGGCCGCCGTCGGTTTGGAGCAACACTTGTTGTTGGGCACTGTACCCATTTTTCCCGTACCCATTTCGGGCGTCCAGCCTACATGTTCCAGCCTACTTTGGCCTTGACTACCAGAAATAATGTCGAGCACCAAGAAGGTACTTGAACTGCAGGGTTTTCGCGTGTCGTGTCTTGGTGTTCGAAACTATTTCTGCGATGTGGTCCTTGAGTACGATGGGAGTTACATAACCCTGCGAGTAATAATCACAATGCCCCAAAATGGTTCCCGAACCTCCGTGGAAATGCGGACCGTGGCAAACGCTCGCCTTACTCGGCACGCGGACTCCGAGCAGTGGTCTGCTCAAGGAGGGCCCCCCGTAAACCAGTCGGGCCTGATCGTCGGGGCTCTCGCAGTACTGTTGAACCGACCCTCATCCCCATCTCCATCCCAATCCTGACCGCCACCATCTCAGCACCCCAGTTGGGGATATACCCTTCGCAACCCGAAGGAAACAGGCAATATCCCGATCCAGGGGGGTAACACGGCAAGTGGGGCCCAGCCCACGCCCACGGGGATATGGGGTCCGTTGAACGGTGCTCAAGGAGGGCCCCGCCCCCGCCCCCGCCGAGGGCGGAGGAGGAGGAGGAGGAGGAGGAGGATCGGGAGGAGGAGGAGGAGGAGGAGGAAGAGGAGGAGGAGGAGGAGGGGGACGAGGAGGCGGAGGAGGGGGAGGGGAGGAGGAGGAGGGGGAGGAGGAGGAGGAGGAAAAGGAGGAGCAGGAGGAGGAGGAGGAGGATCGCACGCCACTGAGGGGAAAGGGGGGGAAGAGGTTCGACGGTCAAAAACCCAGGGGGGCCATCGGAGTGGACCTTTTATATCTCCCTGGCAGGAAGGACACTGACCTGCCAGGGGCCAACGACAGGGCCCCCCCCCTGTGTATCAACAAACCGCCTCCGCGTCCCCCAGATCGTTGTCAGGGGTTCGTTCTTGCAGCTTTGGTCCCAACTCGGCCGCCTCGGACTCGTTCAGCCCGAAGGCCTGGATGGCATTAGCCAAGCACAAAATTGCATCGCGGCCCGCTTCGGGCCTTAAACAACAACTTCCTCTCAGCTGTGCCTTCTTGGGCTCTTCCTGTCCCCCAGCCAGCTCCTGCGCCCAGGCCCCAGGAGTTCTCCAAGGGCCCCGCTTGAGAGGCCTGTCGGGGTGCTTCCTTCTGGAGACCGCCGTCGAGTTCTTCCGGCCAGGGTCTACAAGGGCATGCTGGGAGCCTTCGCATCCCCGTCTGAGGCCCCGAGACCCCGCAGACACCGTGGCGTAGGCCCCACAGGTCGAGCAAAAAAGGATCGGTGGCTGACCTACTCCAGCAGCGCGTGTCCTCCTATGAACGCAGGGGGCTGCTTGGCGTCGAACGCTTGTGCCCCCAGCTCTGGTGCCAGGGGCTCTTGGGGATGGCGCGAGGGCGAAGGAGGGTCCTGTGGAAGGCAGGCATCAGCAACTGCAGACCGAACCTCTCCCTCCTCACCAGGCCTCTTCCTAGCCTCAGCAAGCGCCTCCTCCATCT